CGAAGTTACGAAGTGGCGTGCGACAGCGAGCTGTTGGTCCGACGAAGGTCGGGCTGAAGTCCGGCGGCGAGCGACGGCCGGGCGAAGGTCTAGCTGCAGGTAGCGCGGCGGTGGTTTGTGAAGGTCGGGCTGAAGTCCTGCGACGAGTTGCGGCGGGGAAGTTCTGCGGCAGGCGACGGCGCGTGGTGTCTGGCGGCAAGCTACGGCCGAGCGGTGGATCCAACGAGAAGTCGGGCTGAAGTCGCGGGCGGCGGCAGGCGAGGCCGGTAGGTGGATCGACGAAAGGTCAGGCTGAAGTCGGCGACAGTGGCAGTCGGCGAAGTCAGCGTAGCGGCGGCGGCGGTGGTCCGATGAAGGTCAGGCTAAAGTCCGGCGGCGGGCGACACCGGGAGGTTTGTCTGGCGGCAGGTGGAGGTGCTAGAGCTCTTGATGCTTCAAAGCTCTCTCAAATCTCCAGCCCAAGTTCCCCCTCATGTAGAGAGTGAGGTCTATTTATAGATTTTCATGAATGGCACATCCCGTAAATTTAGAGAAGATCCGGGGCAGGTTCGGAGTGATCCATCAGATGGCTCGTATTGATTCCCCCATCATAAAGTGTTTTTCAACTGTTTAAGTGCCTTAATGATGTCAGAATTCAGAGATCGTGGGCTCGTTGGATTCATCTCGATCGCCGAGACGCTCAATTTGACTATAAGCATGTCATATTTGGAAATCATTTTATTGTCTATGGTCCAGGCCCTGGGACCCATTTGGGCTTGGGTTGGACCAATTTTGGTGTTGTTTGGTTAGTCTCTTTGATATGTTCAATTTGACTATAAGTTTGCTGAAATTGGAATTCAGATTATCCTAATTTTAATTTTGAAAGTTTCCAACTCGAATATGCCTTGAGATTCGTGCTTGAACAAAGCAATTTTTTGATGAAGTATCAATAATAGAATTATAATTATATAGTTATTTACTTTTTAGCAAAAATCTTGTAAGCCTTTTTATATTTTCAAATTCATAGCTACAAAAATTATAAAAAAAATATTCATAAAATAGTCCATCATATTTAGAAAATTTTGTTGAAATCATTTTGCAAAAAGGATACAAACCTCACTTGTACTATTAAGTGTCAATTTTTTAAGGATTTGAACAAATGTTCAAAATTTGTGAACAAATTAGTGTAGTTAAAACACTACATATCTATAATATGTTGTACACGATTTTTTAATTGTACTAATAATGACTATTGAAACATTTTATTTTGTTCAGTCAAAATATGAGTTTTTACATCGTAATCAGCGGGCGACAGTGGTCGGATGGACCTAGTCGGTGGGCGAAGGTGTTCAGAGGGACCTAGTCGGCAGGTGACAGAGGTCCAAGCGATCGTAGTCGGCAGGCAACGATGGCCCGAAGGATTGGAGTCGGCAGACGATGGTGGTTAGAGGGACCAGAGTCGGCAGGTGACGAATGTCGAAGGTACCAGAGTTTGTGAGCTAATATCCCTAAGGGTGAAACTCGATTTGGGTAACAGCTCTTATTGACCAAGTTCTATAAGAGGTGAACTTACTTGATAATTGTGAGTTATCAAAATAGGTATGTATGAACATATACATTGAATTCTAGTTATAAGAATATTGGCACAACTTTAATTCAATCAACCTAAACTTGACTCAATAATACATTTTGGTTAAATTTTTTTTATAACCTGTCAACTACAGTCTATATAGTTTAGAGAATTGATAAAAATATTGCGGTGATTATATCAACAAGTGAAAGTCATTAAAAAAAATAAATGAGTCATGTTTGGGTCAAAATTTGGCACTAAGAAAAATTATCTTTTTAAGGAGGACAATTGCGTCGCAAAATAACAAAAATCCATCTCAAACTATGCTTTGTGGATGAATATAATTCAACGCAAAAAATGACGTTTGCGGAAAAAAAATGTGTCGCAAATATTTCCGACGAATTTGCAATGGGATTTCAACTAAAAAAAGCACAAATTATGCCCACTCGAGCGGGCTGTCTGCTACTTATGCCTGACTGGATTGCTTGCGTCTGATCAACTACCCTCACCATTTCCCATGTGACTGGCTTGCCCGAGATTAGAACATAGCTCTAGCTCCACTCATCAAATACCACTGCCCTTCTCCATTCTGCTGCGGAGACAAAACAATATAAAAGTTATTTATTTATATTATAACTTAGTTTGCGGTGGCAATTTCTGTCGCAAATTTGCGACAAAAACTTAGCCTCAAATCTGTCGCAACTCCGCCACAAAAAATCGTTGAAAACTTATGTCGCAAATCGATTGCCATTTTCAACAAAAAATAATCTGGCGTAAAGTTCGCCGCAAATTCGCCGCAAATTGCTAACTTTCTTATAGTGTGATTCACGATTATTTTCGTTTAATAAAAGGTTTGAAATTCCGGA